TTAATTTTCCCTTTGGGGCCCCGCCCTGGCCCCAGGGGTCGGGGTAGGAATCTCAATTTTACAATTTGAAACCATCTACCTCCAAGGATAATTCTCACCAAGTAAAAATAATTTCCTACAGAAAGTTGTCAAAATATACCCAAAAGTGTTATTTCCCTATATAAACTATAGTAAACTTTACCCCCTCCCCAAGGGAGAACGGATAGCTCGGGGGTCCTGAAATTTACAATTTAAGTAAAGCCCCTGATGATCTTTCTTTCCACGTAGAGAAAATCACTGTAGTACCTCTGAGTCTGGAGAAGAAGATTTTTGAAATATTGGATAATTTTCCCTTTGGGGCCCCGCCCTGGCCCCAGGGGTTGGGGTAGGAATCCCAATTTTACAATTTTGAAGCCTCATCTACCAAGGATGATTCTGACCAAGTTTGAAAAAAATCCATTCACTGGTTCTTGAGAAGAAGTTGAAAATGTAAAAGTTTACGCACGACGGACGACGGACGACAACGGACGACGACGGACGAAAAGCGATTGGAATAGGTCACTTGAGCAAAGCTCAGGTGACCTAAAAAGGATTGATTAATTGAGCAAAGTAGTTTCAGTTGGGTTTTACGCACTTTCTCCCTCAATGAGACATGAGGGAGATCTCCGTCATTGGAAGTTTCCGAGGTTAACACCTATATGCTATAGTCATGCTAAGAAAAACATTTCTATTTCATAGCTACAGCTATTGGCAGTGGTGTAAGAATCCTTAAACGACACCATCATGATCCTGCTGTATAAAATTTGCATAATATTGATTTATTACAATGTACATTACCAGTCTAGAATGGTGTGTTTGAGCAATGCATTGCCCACAGTCAAAGATTTCCTTTGATTATCAATCATAATGCAGGTAAATTCAATATGACAATTAACACATTAGAAAAAACATATATCAATCAATTGTTGGTTTCTTCCAAACATGATCTCTAAAAGTGATGTTTTTCAAAGGTACACGATTGATGTAAGTCGATCACCACATCAATGAAAGCAAAAATATGTCACTGTGACACATATACCCCCATTCCAAAATAGCTCCACAATTAAATAAGACCTGATGATCTATTAAAACAGTACACATTTATTAGAACAACATGCATTTCTGAAAATAAAATGTCAGTCTGGTTCCAGGAGATCAAAGTTCTGTCAAAATGGTCGGAATATTATGACTACAGCCAAGATATACCTGTCCAACCCATAAGAATGATTTAGTCACTGTGGACATGTGTACTGAGTATTGGCCTCCGACCATATGGATAGACCTTTGATCCCTTCTGTTCTGATAAGTAATTTAATAAAAACATTAGTTTTATATGTTACCTTACAAATTTATTTTTTGTGTAAGAGTTATTTCCCTTACAAAAAATGACTTTTAGCTGTCTACTACTTCAGCACTACTACACATTCAAGATGCATACCTATGTCATCAATCTATCAACCAACTTCACATTTAACATCATGCATAGAACATATTCAACATGTTTCTGGATGCGGAACTCTTATGGAAAAGACATGAATTTTAATCAGGCAGCATACTCCCTTAAGAGAGATTTCTCTTACAAGGTACATTGTATAATGTGAAACGTACGTGGCACATGTATCCTGAACTCTTTCAGGGGATGAAACTATACGATGTCAACGAAACCATCTTTCTGGTGGCACAGAGCATGATATGGTATTGATTCACCAAGACGTTTAAATATTTCCTGGCATTCATACTTACAACAAATATTGGGAGAAATATTAGATTTTGAAAAAAACTTGCAAAGTAAAAACAGTGTATATAACATCATTAAATCCTTGTTATTCTAACTTCTTTTGTATTTAGAAAGAAAAAACACAACTCTGCTACAACTGGAAACTTCCTTAATTGATGAGACTTCTAGCATACACTGAATAGGAATTGAACTTAATCCTGGAAAAAAGGTTAATATTTGTTTCCTATAGAAACCCGGCTGCACATTGACAAATAAATACCAAGGTCCAATGTTTGCCCTAACAGTGTAAAGTTTGAGGCAGAGGGGCTATTATGTAATCTCAACGGTCGGTATGGGTCACCTCACTCATAGTGTATCTAAACCGAACATCATAACTGGGCGTTTATAATTTTGAAATGAAAGGTTGGGAAATGTGATGAAAATTACTTAACATTTTTTTTTTACAAAAAAATGACTTCTGACAATACCACATTTCCTATGTCAACGCTCAATTGCATTCATGCAACCGTTTCTGATTCCTGGTGGTTAAAATAATTTTGATGAGAAGACTTTTTAGATCTCGGAATTAAACATAAAAGGAGGTTATTTCCGATACGACAGCATCAACATCATCAATGCCTTTTACACATTTTTAACCAGGGAGAACAGAACAAAATGAAGCTCGAGGAGAGCAGTGAGAGTATAGACATTTCCTTTATCTTTTTCAAAGCAAATGCAGCATTGACAATTCCGTCTTTGCGAATTGCAGAGTTATCTTCTCTTGTGAGCAGGTATTGATTGTTACGTCATTGGTTTGTGTGAGAAAATTACACGTTTTCTCAAAAATTGATGACGTTACTCTCACAAACCAATGACGTTACAATCAATACCTGCTCACAAGAGAAGATAACTCTGCAATACGCAATGACGGAATAGTTAAAACACAAATGGCTAACTTCAAAAAATATTTAAAAAAAAACAATCTACAGTATGCATCATATTCAATGGTTATTACCTCGTTTACAGCACTTGAGCACATGTATCACAAGATTTGACAATAACATAGACAGTATAATTGGTACACATCATTTAAGTTTAAATTAATTAAAAGTCAATAAAGCCTCCAAAAACTCACTGTTGAACAACTACACACAATTTTGCAAAATTTTGCATGTCATGATCATTCATTGCACTCAAATCGAAAAGTGATAAAACTATGTTAAAAAGTGATGATATAGAACTACAATATGACAATGACAATATAATTATAATTGGTGAGATATTTTTTTTTATCAATTTGCATAACAAGATGATTGTGCATTCAAGTATTTTGTGAACATTTTCTAAACTGCATATCAAGAATGCTTAATGAATAATTCAATTCATCCTGAACTATTTAACCACTATCTTGAAAAGGAAATATTCTTGAGTATTTTTGAACCAACTAGTTAGTAAGTAAACTTTCTGCATTAAATAAAGACGTTTTAAATCTACATAAAATTCCCTAAACAAATCATTCATGTATGAATAGAAAGCTGAGGCATGTATTTAAAATTCCTTACACAATTTGATTCGTGTATGAAATGTGTAACACCACTAGCAAAAAATTAACATGTGATTTTTTTTGTAAAAGCAAAATTAAGATGAAATGGCCAATAGTAAGGATCTGGATAAGGCCGCCAGCAATGACAACTGTATAATTAATGCAAAATGTTCACTAAGTTAAATTTACCCCTTCACTCGCAAACCCATATCTGCCCAGTAATGAATTCACCCTTCCCAGGGAATCACTATGTAAATCATTCTGAAAACTAAATTTGTTATGGTGATAAATTAGCCCCAAATTATGGAAGGGTGTTAAAGGCAAATGTTAAACCTGGGACAAAAAAATCCTTGTATACCAATGAAACAAATGTGAATATATAAACTTTATTTATTGTACAACAATTACGAAACAAATTATTTACATTTTATATTGTTAGTGGTTGGGCAGGTGACCCTATACCCTGGAGGCCTTGCTGCACCACCCAACCACATAAGACCCCACACATGCTATAATTGGGGTGATTAATTTAAGTTGAATTATCTTGTTTCATAATTGTTGTAAAATATATATATTTTTTATATTTAAACCAATATGTTGCATCTAGTCGTATCCACAGCTACCTCTGGATTAATCACATGGACACAATTGAGGTTTTCAATATTGTTTTTAAGGATATGTAGAATTATGAGTATTTTTGTGTTTAGGCCATTGTTAAGAGAATGTTTGTTTTCAGTCTCCTGACTGACTCACTAATAACGTGAGCAGGTCAACTGCAAACAAAACAATGTTTTAAGGATGGCCTAATTACATGAGGATGATTATTAAAATCTCAGGACAGGCATACTTAATGTATTTATGTTTAATTACAATTATCATATATTCAAAATCTGTTGTTCCGTAACAGAACTTTGATGAAATAGGATGGAGTATAAAAAAAATAAAAAAAATATGTCTGCTTATATTATGCAGCAAGAAACTGAAATGCCCTAATCATCTGATAACCTAAACAACTTCCTGTACATTTTGTAGGTGTGGAGAAATTACAGATACTTGAAGACATACTCGCCCAATGTCATCGCTTACGACAACATATGTACAATACATTTCAAGTTTTGATCAGAAAGTGAATATATAAGAGTAGCTAACTTGTAACCTCAGCCAAGGTTTCAATTTTGCAACTTTCAACAAGGAAAACGGGATTGTAGTTGTATGCATGGCCTTCAATGGAAACCTATACACAGACCAGAGAGCTATATACACTTGTAGTACCTCCAACTATAATAGCACAGCAAGCAGGTCAAACATATTCACTATTGACATAGATATCTACCCTTTTTATACGTTGTAAGTATGCAACAAACACTTCCACAAGGAAAGTAAAAATAATAGCATCTATAATTAAAAGTCTTACGCAGTCTTGTATCACAGTCCGCAAGTAAATATGATTATATAAAGCTAACAGGGTATCGGTTTCCACTTAGACCCTGTGGGAGTCAAGGATTATATCTTCTGTTCCAGTAACTGGTTTGATCAACACTGGGAGGGGGAAAAGAACACGTTAATAATTAGTTTAACAGAATTGTTTGATGCGAAACATGTACATAAATATAAGTCTGACCTGGTTTTTGGTAGATTTATGTTTGTCATACTGTACCCCTGAAAATATTGCAATCAAATATTGGTATATAGCCCCCGAATCATATCAACAGAAAGGCCAATATCGTTAACAGATTTCAGCAATGTTTTATCCTTTACAGGATGGATGCAGCATGGTTTTTACCCAGTGGTTACAGGCAGAACAGGTTACAGCAGTCGGTTACAGATGCAGTGCCTACACTGGTGAATAACACGGAGAGAAGCTGTACTAGCATAAATACAGCATTCACAGGTCTACATCCACATAGCACGTGTTGGTTGTAAGTAAATACATACACTGTACCGCTATTTAGCAGGCATTCTGAACACGGAAATCAAGCTGTATTTTATACAGGCATCTTGGAACCAGAAGCAAGCTACGTCTGTAATGTAAATTTTAAAGCCATAATCAACCTACACCTCACCCGGCCGGCTCAGTGGCCATGGTCCTGGTACCGTATAAAACACAAAGGCAATCATGGTGCCATATTCAAGTTGTATCTCGAAACACTTACAGCAATCCTGGTTCTGTACCTTACAGACAATTGTGTTGTCAGAATCAAGTCTTTTCCTGAACGGTTAAAGCTATTGCGACCTGGTACGACATTTGCAGGCAATCCTGATACGAGAATCATGCTATATCTTGAAAAGTTACAGGAAACCTGACGGTTAGAGATCTTATGATGCTGATGCTAGAATCAAGCTTCATGTTGAATGATTACAGGAAAATCATGTTGCTTAGAGATGATACTGGTACTGCATTCAATTCAAGTCACAAGTCCTGGTGTTTACAGGCAATCTTGGTATCGATCAAGCTACCTCCTGAATGATCAAAGGAAAATTCTTACAGGAAATTCCCATGCAAATGCACGATCCTGGTGTCAGAATCAAGCTACATCTCAAATGGATACAGGAAATTCTTACAGGAAATTCTTACAGGAAATCCTGCTGCATAGGGACGATCCTAGAACCAGAATAAAGCTACATTAATTTCTTAATGTTTACAAGAAATTCCTATAGAAATCCTGGTGTTTACAGGCGATCTTGGTAACAATCAAACTATATTTTGAATGGTTACAGGAAACTCCAATTGGAAAACCTGGTGTTTACAGGCGATCCTGATGCCAGATCCAGCGCTTACAAGTGTGGTCAAAGTTGTGTGAGATCCACTGGTGTTGTAGGAGGTTATATCTCTCACTGCTGAGGAACAGTGGCTTGCCTCGCCTATAACACAAATGTACACTTATAACGTATAGCCGAGAACAAGGAAAGGTTAAGTTCAAATACTTCACAAGCTAGTATAGTCACAATTTGTGACAATCTGCATCAACTATATTTGATATAAAGGTGATTTTGGTGTTCAGTGTTTGTAATAATTAATACATCACAACATTTCATTGACAAACTATTTTAGGAATTTTTAGTTTGTTTTCATACCAAACAGTCAAATCCCATTGGTCAATTTTACCTTAATTTTTCCATATATTTTTTTATATGATATTACTAATGCCACATCTCTCGGAATTACTTGTTTTCCATGTCAGCAAAATATATTGCCAGTTAAAGCACTTTCAACAATTTTCTGGTATTTTCTTTTTCAAAGTTGTTAACATATATTTTTTCAAAACATTTAATTAAATTAATCATAATTTTTCACAGCATTAAAAATTAATTATAAGCAGATTTGAGAACCCATTAGGACATACTACTGACTTTCTTGAAGCAGGAGATTAAAAACCTGGTGGAACAATGGCATTATAATTACTGCAATATAGTAAACAGTTTATGTGATTTTTCTGTAAGATTCAAAAATATGATACCCAATCTACCTATTTGTCTCCCCTGGTCTAACTTACTTGAGGTCTCTGTCCTCCTCGCCATGTTCGTCCAGATAGACACATCCCCAGAGTGTGGCCCTCGGCCCGCGAATCACCACCACGACACTTGAGTTGACCAGCAGAAACATTGCTGTCCCCGCCCCACACTCAATGGAATGCTACAACATAGAGAAATATACACAATCAATAGGAAGAATATGGCACCAGTCCCCTTATAATGGTTAATACTGAAATTTGATCTCCTTAAAATAACTTTGTATACTACTTTAAGCCTAAAGGTTCTTTGTTTTTACCTCAGAGATTTTGAATACAGATTGTTGGAAAATGTATCACACAGACAATGTTTCTATGCCTACACCTTGCAATAATAGTGTCATGCAAAGATATAAAGTTAAATCCTTTTCTGTGAAACAATTTGAAGCTCTTGGTCCTTTGTAATCCATCATTTCAACTTTCAATATTATCAATGGTCAATAAGGAAGTGGAGCAAAACAAACCTGGCATAATTATGTCCAGAATCCTCTTTGCTTTTATGTCCAACTAAATTCATGAAGTATTATACTAGAGTTCAGCGATACAGAAGACAAGCCAGTATGGTGGATCTGTTGCCTAATTGTTTATGCTGAACAACCAGTTTGTCTGTTTTTAAATGTAACATTTTCGGGTATAAATCCTGGTGAACCTGCAAATGTTTATGCAGATCTTGAAAGGCTTTGTCAAGGCTTGCCTGAAAGCAGCATCAGATTACTAGGACCGACCTTATTTCATAAAGGAAAAACTCTGGTCCAACCGGTTCAACCATTTGGATCATGATAAAGGAAGCTGTCCCTGGTCTGTGTTATGAATATACTTACTCTCACACACTCGTAGATCCGTTGCTGTTGGCAACAGGCCTGACGGAAGCACAGGAAGTGGCCACAAACCATACAGAGGGCCGGGTCCTTGGGTACATTCGTACACATAGAACAGGTGGCGTTGTTGTAAGCCTGGAAGATCTTGTAGTAGTGACGCGGTAGAGCAATCAGCTGAGGCGGGTACCATGTTGGATTCCTCAACAACAGGCTCTGTAACAGGTAAAATTTATTACAGTTTTGCTAGTGAGATATTGAATTCTATAAATTTTATATAGAACTGGTATCTGTCGCTCTGTAATAGGTAAACTTTATTACAGTTTTGCTTGTGAGATATTGAATTCTATGAATTTTATATAAAACTGGTATCTGTTGCTCTGTAACAGGTAAAATTTATTACAGTTTTGCTTGTGAGATATTGAATTCTATGAATTTTATATAAAACTGGTATCTGTCGCTCTGTAACAGGTACATTTGATTACTGTTCAGATGTAGATGAAGCAATGGTAGAAAAAAATGGGGTGTTATGGTACATCATTTACCCTTTCACCACTGTATGGACTCATCCAGATCAATGCATGGTCGAGTCTACTAAAGTTACATAGGGTTGAAAGGGTTTATGCTACACAAACTATGGTACTTGCCTAACTACACAATTGACAATATTTTGTAACAAAATATCTACGAGATAATAGCAGAAAATTGTAAAATTGTGCTGAAAAGTCCATTCAAAAAGGCAAGCAACCCTGTTATCAAAAGCATGATAACATTAGAAGTTAATACGGCACCACCGGGATTTGAACCTTGGTCTTCGGACCGTTACACTATCGCTCTAACTGATCGAGCTACCAGGTCAACGGCAGAGTCCCGGCCGAACTGAGCTTCAGTTTAATCAAAGCAGAAGTAAAGGGGAGATTACTGTATATAGGGAAATACAGAGTGCAGCACATAGAAAAAAAAACCTTCACATGTAAATACCTTGGCATCACTGGGGTGACTGTTTATAAAGTTTGTCAAGTCCGTACACCATGCCCTCACGAGAGTTAAGGGTTCAGGTACTAGCCAATGAACGATGGAGGAACTGGTCACCTGACCCGGAGTTGTGATTGCCGTGCCAACTTTGTTAAGTCCAAGGAACTGACAGATCTCCTGGAATTCTGTTATGTTTGGCTACAGAGAATAAATAAATACAGAAATCAAATTTTTAACTGCAGCTGTTTGTGAATTAAGTTAAGTCTGCTGACATACACTTAAAAGTACATGTAGTTAAGATATAACCATTTCCATATCCTAACCCTAACTGACAGATCTTCTGGAATTCTGTTATGTTCGGCTAAAGAAAAAATATAGAAAACTGAATTTATTGCAGCTGTTCATGAATATGGGCAGATTGGTCGAGTGGCTAACACTCCTGCCTTCCACGCATGCATGCAGCCGGGGTTCAATCCCCGAAGTCGTCGTTCACACTGAATATTCAGAGAAAGTGTTTTTCTACTGCCCACACAAATCCAACAACCCAGGTGGAGCATTAAATGGTCTGGGGTGGATGTTGCAGTGTGTGCTGTAGCATTCAAGTGAGGTGGCACTATAAATGATACTGCTGGAAGCACAGTCTCACTACAAACAGAACACATTACATCTCTAGCACACACACAGGCATACACATGGGGAGATATTAATTAGCCAGGTGGGATAGGACTATCATAAAAACTTGAGTAATTTACACAGTTGTCATGTGTTAAAATTAAGCTTGAAGTTGGGGGTGGCTATAGATGTTTTCAGGAATTTTGTTTTATAAAGTTCGTCAAATTGCATGGTCTGTCATTTTGAAAAGACAGGATTTTCTCCGGATCGGTTTGTAAACAGAACCTGCAGACAGATGAACATTTAACTATTTATTTTTAATGAATATTTAACAAAAGATGCAAAATAGATATTTGTGTTGCTATATGAATTGATAAGGCAATTAACGTAAAGTTATTAGATTAACCGTCCTCTAACGGTAGATGCATATAAATTACGTTCTCAGCGGCTTACATTTAGCCAGCAAAGTTATAGGCCTATCATCTTCACAAGATAAAACAGTTTACAGATCTAATCCAAGGGAAACCATTTTTTTTTTATCACTGCTCAGCAATAGCTGGCATAATTCAGACTCAATTACAAACTAGTGCACTGTATGACGAAATATTAATGTTTCCAAGATTTCAACATCATGCTCTATATCCCCAGTGTTTTCAGTTTTATATTTGCTTACAGTTCTCTCCGGAAACTCCTGTTCAAAGATGTGATGTCGTACGAGAGCTGCGATCTTGAGGAATGGGAGACAGAAATCCTGGACAGCCATGTCCACGCAGTGAGGGGACCACACACTTTGACATATCTGTAATTAATTCATTGCAATTAAATTTTTAATTTAGGTTTAAACGGTTTATAATCATATTATTATTAGTTGCGTAATTTATATAAATTAATTACCCTATCCAAAGAAAGCAAGTCATTTCATGATCAGGTCTAACTTATATAGTGTTAACTCATTCAGCCCTGAAAACACATTTGAACTCTTCCAATTCAAAGGTTGGAATAGTTCATTATAACATTTCAGGAGTGAATGAGTTAACATTGTGATGTATTTTGTTTGATAATATTGTTCATGTACTTACTGCTGGTATTCCGATATCCTGCATATCAACGTCTTCGTACAGCCTGCTGACCTCTAACCTTGTAATCACATGACTTAACATCCCCTCCAGACTTTCAAACGATACCTGGCAGGGAGCAAAGTAACAAATTTTAATATTTAGATATTTTATTATTTTGCTTGTGGATTCAATATGATCACTCACTGGGGATAAGGGAGACCATTTTTTAATTTTGAAAATGTGTCAATTTTGAAATACCTTAGGGCTTTTCCAGACATAAAATATTTTTTTAATGTATTGGGGTAGGGGGGGGGGGGGGGGGGNGGGGGGGGGGGAGTCCGGAGGCACTTGAAGTAAAAATATATTGGTGATGGAGTCTGTTACGATAGTTAAATTATGAAATTATGGGTGGTAGGACATGGGTGACGGGGATGAAGACTGAAATAAAATTGTGGGTGGTTGAGTAAAAAGAAAGTGTCTCTTTGGCCCTTTTACATGCATTTCTGGAATAGCCCTTGCAATAATCACTTCAAAAAATCCCTTTTTTCATCTGTTTTGTTTTTCTCTTTCAACAAAATTGACATTTCACATTTCCTAATGAAATAAGTCTTTCAGCAAACTTCTAACTTGTGATTGGATAAATGAAGGAAAAGTCTTGTAGATAAGACTTACTCATCTATCAACAGACAGCATTGAATGTTGTGTGTCATAGGCAAAACTAGCTCAACAAGTCACAATTATCGATGACACATTTTAATGACGTCACAATTGAACATGTGCTAATCGGCACGAGGCTATCTCCCCCTAGGGGGTTACAAGCTAATCTTTCCCAGCTAAAACGGGAGACACCCGTGTGAAGGGTGGGAGAAATGTAAATCATATCTCATTATCAAATTTGTGTATTCAGCAAAATTTCGGCTAAAATGGGAGACACCCGTGTGAAGGGTGTGAAAAATATAAATCATATCTCATTATCAAATTTGTGTATTCAGCAAAATTTTATCTTTAAGATTGGAGAAATCAAGGATGTTGCAGAGAAGACTTAAACTAATGAGATTTGAATTTGATGTAATGTGTTGTAGGGAAGACTTAAAGCTGAGGAGGACTTTAATTTAAACGTTTTGTGTAGATCTGATCTGATCAGGGCCCCTTTCGTTCATTGCGATCCAAACGGTTTGACCAGTTGGACCAGAGATGTTCGTTTGTGAAATAAGGTCGGACCCAGTAATGTGATGCTGCCTTCAGGCGAGCCCTGACAAAGCCTTGCAAGGCCTGCATAAACATTTGCAGGTCTTCTTGGATTTATACCCGAGAAGGTTACATTTACAAACAGACAAACCAGTTGTTCCCTGGACTCAAATTTAATACCATTCCTGCATGTCAGGAGTACAAGATATATATCCAAGCGTTTTATTGTGGTACATCAACTATACTTTCTCACATTTATTTTAATTTTAATTATATAAACTATTCCTACTTAAGATAAACAGATTTTTTTTTAACTTTATAATAATTACAATCAATTGAAACTGAAAAGAGAATATAAAGCTTTGTGTTAACGAATTATTGTTCGTAAGAATGGATTTGAAATACGTGACTTTCCACTGTAAAAATTCCAGCTCTGCTGATATACCTTGCGGCCTTTCTTTCTCCACGCCTCTCGCTCGTCCATGGTGAACTTACAGCTGGTACAGGCCAGGGCTTGTACGAATACCACGTTATACAGCATCTTGGTCAGCACAATGAAATGTTCTGTACAACAGATCACAAACAAAGTTACAGCGCAGGAGTTCACTATGGTCAGTTTGAACATTTTTTTATTTAACCAACAATCATAATATTCAATATCTTAGTGTTGTATTTAATAATTATAATCCTGTGTGTAGCATAACTAGCTGAACTTTAAACTCCTTATAAAACTCCTTCCCAAGTACTTTTAACAATCTATACAACATTAACTATTCATGAGCAAATACCACATATTTTACATGTATAATTAGGCATGTGCAATGATTCAATTCAACTTTCCCATATCAAAACTAGCATTTGTTATTTTCAGACTCATTTTCCACAGTTGTCTTCAAGTTTAACCCTGTGGCTGATCACCTATCCCGTCATCAGATGTGCCTTCCTGCACTGTCTACCCTTGAACCAGTCTACATGTCAATCAAGGCGTGGTTTTCATAAGATTATAGGATACAACCTCAATTGAACTTTTGACCAAAGTGTTGTTTTTTATTGATTTCTAATTATTTACAATACATAGATGTTTCTTTACTTCTTCATTAATCCTAATTATCAGCCTGTTTTGTAGCATAGGCCCTAAAGCTTGCGTTGTCTTAGAAAAGGGGGTGAAAATTGACACCGGACCAAATCTTCCTTAATTTAACCCTAGTGGCATATTCACTGTCTTTTAACCCGTTGCCCCTTTGAATTTCCGACTGTTAATACTTTTTCTTCAAAATTGTGCAATTTCACTCAGAAACATTTCCAGGGGTTTATATGAAGAAAGGGCATATTTAGTGGTGTATTTCATACTGTACAACTCATTATAACCGGTACTTAAGAAGATAATGGCTCGGGTAGTGCAGTAAATAGCGCACTAGCCTTTCATCAAGGCGGCAAGGGAATTATTCCCTAAATGGACGTAAAAAGGATTGGGTCACCTGTCTGACCACGTGGGTATTTTCCTTTTAATCCAGTTTCCCGCCATTAAGACCACCCACTCTAACACCCAGGGCCAACAAGAGTGATTGATATAAGCTGACATAACTTCTTATAAATAAGTTTATATTTAATGTTCCTAAGTACAAGTCAAACTTACCTTTCTCTATTGTTGCGGGCAGGGTGAGAATGAGCTGTATAAGGAGGGCAGAGCAGTCCTTCAGTATCACTGGTACTTCCTTGTTATACGGCCGTACACTACAACAAAATCATTCTTGGGTGAACGAGAGTTGATTGCAAAGTAGCCAGCAGTCATATGATAAGGCCAAAAATATAATTCGTGTGTTTCAGGCAAAATGCCTGGAAAAAAATAGAGTAGGTCAGTAGGCAAATAGGGGGCTGCCGTGGCCAAGTGGTTGAGGTGTCTGACATTCTGCTACCACTAGCCCTCTACCACTGGGTCGTGGGTTCGAGACCTACGTGGGGCAGTCGCCAGGTACTGGTCGCAGCTCAGTGGTTTTTCTCCAGGAACTCAGGCTTTCCTCCACCACCAAAACCTGGGACGTACTTAAATGACCATAGCTGTTAATAGGACCAAAAAGTAGGAAAACAATTGTTTTTATTTTGTGTCTTTTTATATTAATGGATCAATATTATGCTTTATATCAAATTTTACAATGCATTTTCATACATTACAATGGCTATTAATTTGTCAAGAATAGGGTCCGACTCCCAGAACAGGAATAAAGTGAAAACAGATTTTTCAGGGTCGGCAGGAAAATCTAGGGTAGGTATGGACACCTTAAACACACATTTTGTTTGGCCTAATCTAACAAATTTCTTGATGAACAAACATGAATTTTGCAGATAATCACCAGTGTTAATTATCTTAAATATTTAAAAAAGAATGAACACTTTAATACTGCCCTTAATTCACGGGACACATGTGGGTTTTTTTCACCAGCATCTTGTCTAATTAAGGTCATCGAGTGGTTAATGATCCGTGTCTATGAATATTTGATCAAACATTTTAAACTGACCATCATTCAGATGTATTACTGGTCAAATACCGAAGGGAAAACAATCTCTGTATATAGGTAATGATCTCTGTGATTGGTGGACAGAGGTTAGGTTTGAGTTTTTGCGGTCAGTAATTATTTACCTGCTGGACTCCCCTTCAGAGCAGGTGACTCCTGTGATGTGTGACCAGAGGTCAGTGTAGGGTTTGGTGGTCAGTATTTTGCTGTGCATACTCAGGACATGGGTCAGGGGCACTGCAAAAAAAGGAAACAAAAAGAAACAAATAATATCATTTTGGTAAGTTCATCTTTAAACAGGCATGATATTATAACAATAACTGTAAAATAACTTTAATCCTTGTGACAGCTCTTACTGAAGTAATTGCTTAGCTTGCCTAGAGAGATACAGTTGTTGAATCCCTCAACGTTACACGATGTGCGGTGTGCGCACACGATGAAAGACTGCGATAATAGCATGTGCACAACTGTGTGATAGCTATCGCACAGTTGTGCAGTAGGCATCATGGCTAATATATATCAAGGATTGGCCGGTGAATAAATATGACTTTGTATTTAAACTTACATCTTTCCTCCCTTAAGTATGTTGACATATAAATTACATATTTATCTATTTATCTGACATGCAGTAATGGACACGTCGCATACTAAAATTGTTTTTTAATGGCCTTTATCATGCGTATTGTAGATATACCACCATAAGTTAAATAATATACAAGATAAACATTTAGCGTCTTTGTAGAAACTGAGTTTGCAGGATTGACCAAATCCTGACTACCACCATGCTTAATTTACCTGGCTGATTTTACGGAGCACTACTTACAGAAGCTTTGTTTCCGTCCCACTGATGTTGCTGGACATAGTTCCCCACCTCGTTGTAACAGTTCTATCTCCAAATTAGATCTAAAGTAAAAGAAGTGTCCAATGCATATACTTATGTACAATTTTTTGGCAGTGGGACAGGGATCCTTAAACTGAAATAATAGTCTGAATAAGAAATATTTGAATCACATTCTATTCCTCTTCAAATTGTCAAAAAAGACATCTAAAAATGTGCGTGAAGTCCAACCAGTAGTAACACTTTTCCTTCACAAAATGCTCATTATTTTCTACATCATGTTTCATTTCGATCTGTGGTATCTTATCTCTCTACATGTAAAATGTACAATTAAGCAAAAATATGAAATAGATAGTACCCATTTTCAATAATTTGTAATTTGTTCAAAATGGTTTGTAATAATATCAAAAAGCAAACTTCTGGATGTGGGTTACATTCCTGTTATATTTGCAAGTTGTTTATATATCAGAATGAATCAACTGCAGAAGTTTGTGATCAAGTTGCAGCTTACACATAGTACACAAAAATAATCATAATGTTACTGTGAAATCACAATTTTTTGTGATAATTTTAATTTCGTTGATTTCGTGAGTAATCTTCATCCACGAAAAGCCATTATCCATTTGAGAGGGTACTCATAATCCACAAATTCATGTACACACAAAATGGTGTTTAGATAGAGAACTACAAAATTTGGGCCCCACGAAAAATATCTGATTTCACAGTATACTATGATTGTGTTACATGGATGAAAATGTTACCTGGCAACAGAACACACAAAGAGTAGGACACTCTCTGATGACTGGGATGTGGTGTAGGTTTTGTACACGCTGTACGTCACGTTGGTCAGATCCTCCATAACACTGCCCATGGTCTTGGTCAGTGTAGATGACCGCTACAAAAGGAGATTTCATTTTTTTATCAGTGATATTTTATATTTTATTCTTTTATATTTGTTTCCAGGTAGGGAGAGGGAAGGATTTAACACCCTGAAGCTTCGGACAGATTTAAACGTAGATCATTATCGATTCAAGATTAACTCTAAACTAACCGGCGTGATGGGTCTTCGTATCATCATCTCAGCGATGTCCTTGACCATCTGTGTTAGGACTGGACTGACCGGCTTCACCAGCGTGTACTTGCTCTCCTCTGGGATGATGGGGATGACCGAGTTTGCTAGTTGGCGACAGAGTGGACACCAGTACTCTCCCTTGCTGACCAGTAAGTTTTGGTTTACCTCTTGGGTCTTTAGATGAAAAACAACAATTTAGAGCTACTTAAATAAGATTCCTTAGTTTGGAAATATTTAATACCAAAATTGTTCTTTATACTACACAAACAATTTACGTAACGAGTAACGAGTCACAACGTTTCAAGACAAAGGGACCAGTCAGTCTTGAAACATCACAACACGTTTAATTTAACACATGTACATTGTTTGTGAATAATGTAAAACTTTGATGTATCAATTTAGGGTCATTATAAAGAGGCAAAGTATTGCATATAATCCATAGTTCCCTGTCTCTGCATAAACATTAGAGTGAAAAATAAATAAAGGGCCATAACTCTATATAAACTGACAGGCATAAGTCCTGGACCGCATTAGTTTATCTCGGTCCAAACGGATCAAAAGGTTGGACCAGAGTATACGTAGTTCCTTTATGAAATAAGGTTGGACATAGTAATCTGATGCTGCTTTTAGGCGAGCCTTGACAAATTAAAGCCTTGAAAGGCCTGCATAAACATTTGCAGATTTATACCCAAAAATGTTGTCTCTAAAAACAGAAAAATTGGCTGAAATCAATACGCGCAATGGGCCCTGATTTCAGTGTGTTCTGCCATCCCAAGAGGTATTTTCATACAACATTTGATTTAGAATTTGTAGGTGACATCAAGTATATGAGATATAGCCCAGACAAGTAAAGCACAATGAACAAGTTGTCCTAGTTGTCTACATAGCCACACATGAGACCTGGCCCCGTATTCATTAAACTGTTCTTTTGCTTCAATAACATAAATTCTGTGCTCAACCAACTTTCTTACACCTTGCTTAAATCATGTGATATTGTCAACAAGGCATCACAAGTGATATATATCCCCTTGAATTCACACATTGTGTGACAAAGGTATGAGGAAATGAAAAGAAAATTCAACGATGTATCAGTATCTGCTCTAGCGACTGCATTCTTCAATGGATAATAGATTGTTATTCTGTTGAGGAATGAAGTCAATAGAGCATTGACAATGATTTTCTAAAAATAGTAAAAGTGACCTTGACCTTTAACGCAGTAACCTGAAACACAAACTTGTTCAAGGTATACCAAACACTTGTATCAAGTTTCATGAAATACCATTGAGGAATGAAGTCGCTAGAGCAATGACAAGGAGTGGAACATATGTACCTACGTACATGTGGAATCCTACGCCGTTTTCGTTTAAATGGCCAAACCGGTCAGACCATAGTTATGCTCAGAGCTAGGGCAACCCTATAATCCCATAATTAAAGATTGTGAATATGTTGAATATCTTAAAATACTGTTACAAAATTTTGTACCACTTTTATCTGACCGCTTGAGAGTTGATGACAAAACTGACCGTTAACGATGCCACATAGGAGCTGTGGCAGTCCAGGTGGAGGTAGTGGCCACAGGTTTGCACCACCACACCGCCCTCCCAGCCTATGTTCACGGACATCTGACATGATGTCTACAACAAACAACAACTTATCAACATTTTCATTAAAAGTTTCATTGAACTAGAGATAACAAGGATATTCATAAATTAAAGGGTAAGGGAATAAATGAAGGCAAAAATTGCCAAAGATTTAAATATCCATGTGGAATTTCAGTGAAATTTTCATACATTGTAGTAATTTTAGCAGTCAAATAAAGCATTAAAAAATTGAATATGGGTTTTTAATTGCACATTGTCATAAGATTTTAAAATGTCAGAAAAAGAAAATCACGATCATATCAATTGCAATATTTTTTTCTTAATTATTCCACAGCAATATTTTTTAAGTACATTGTACAAAAATGTGAAAAAAAAAATGTGTTGAAGATTTTCTTTTTTCTCAGTTAAATGATAAACAATATATGATGTTCTTGTATTCCTTTTCAGTTAAGATTGTAGCTCACCTCTTCAAAGTGTTCAAACAAGGCCTTCAGTTGTCTTTTCTGCGTCAACTCACAAGAAATAGGTGTGGTTATCAACTTTTCTCCTTCGACAGGTAGTTGGATAGGGTCCTCTGTCTGTAGTCTGTGACCCAACACTATAATCAACGGGCAAATTATAAGACTTTATACCATCGTCAACAGTCACTGAATTTATTAACAAGCAAAATATAGACAGCAACATCTCAATATACTTTCCTGTTTTTCATTTTCTACTTTGCTTTACAACTGCCCATATTTCATGTACTTGAACACTCAAAGATTATTAATTAATTAAAAGTTGAAGTAGACTAAACGCCTGATGAGTTACATAAAATGTCCTACTTGAATCAGTGACGCACAGCTAAAAATAGAATTTACAGTTGTTTATCCCGAAATAATACTTATTTATGTCTTGCTTTTGTTTTAGAAGTTCTTCCAGAATCTTTTAAGAAACTAATAACATTTTTTTCTTTCTCTTTTTCTTCTGCTGCATTGAATGAAACACTTTATTAAGTCAAAAGTACAAAATTAAAATTAAACATTATCAAGGATAGTTTAGATGGTTTTGTAACCAGGAACTCTTTTTCAAAGGAGAGACATGTCAAAATTAGGTAGCATACACCTTTAAGTGATATGACTGTTTTATGATGGCACATCCTCGATACTCCAGAAGTTACACTCACTTTCGCTCTCTGCAACCCTAGAATATGTCATGGTAAAATTGAAGACCAGAAGACTAGTTAAATCCTTTGATGTACATCAAAAATCACATGGCCATATAAACGATAAAAATTGACTGGATTTGAAGTCGAGTGTCACTCCGCTGTAATATTCAAAGGACAGGAAGCAGCCAAGTGATTGGTTTTTACCTGAGACCAAACAAATAGCTAGCGATGTGGCTTCAATTTTGCTATGACATATTCCCGGGGTGCACGGAGAGAGAAAGAGCATAACCGCTGGAGTATCGAGAATGATTATTATTGTTATCTTTACATTCTTAACCGCCGAGGATGATTATTATTGTTATCTTTACATTCTTAACTGCCCAACAACACAAAAGAGGTCATTAGGGCCAATACAATTTGAGGATGATGAACGCAGGTTGTGGAGGTACTGACCACTGGAGGCTTGGACTAACACCACCAGACCGATGGGTTTGTCTGCAGTGGACGGTGAACTATGACCGCAGATCACACAGTCAAACTCCTTCTCATCCAGGACCTGTCTTGTGTCAGGTTTCTCTGTCGTCGTACTACTGTTGTCATCTGGCAATAAAAAATAGATTGATTGATGATTCAAATGTGATGGACTCATAATTGTAAGAAAATTTATTACACAAGGGCTTCTATGCAGAAGAAGGGATTGTTGTGAGGACAGTGTTCCACTCCATAAACACAGAATAATGCCTGCCGTTTTAAGGATTCAAAAGAAAGTGTTTATGTCTAGCTTCAAAAAGTTTGTTTGGCCTAATAATGTCTATTGTACACTGTAAGCCCATCATTTATCAGTAGCATCAAGTTCATTTAGGAAATAATCCATGTATGTGCTTGTATTATGGTGAAACAACAAGAGAGAGAACATTTTGGAAAACATCATTAATATGAAGGTTGCTTGCCTCACAAGATTTTACAGTCCAAGAGTGTGTTAGTGGTATGACCCCACTCTAGGGAGATAAGACATTACCAGGTATGACATGATACATAATCTGAATTGTAAGTGATTTATCATCTCATAGTGTTTACCTGGCAAATCTGTATCAAAGTTTTGTTCCATAAAAGCTTTCTGTTTGGAGGCAAACTGTGCCATCAATTTCTCCTGGCGATCTTTGGCCTTCTTCTTTCTACAACGACAAATCAGTAAACGGTGAGTCATATAACACAAATAATATACTCGTCAACTACCCCAAGGCTAAGTATAGTTTTCATGATAGGGCCTATTGTGAAAGTGGAGACAAAGTCATCCTTGATGCTCCAAGGGTTACACTCACTTTCGTTCGCTGCACCTCTGGAATATGACATAGCCAAATTGAAAGCTCAGTACTGTGCGTCACCTTGTTGATAAGACAAGAAGACTGTAATTTGATCATTTAATGTAAATTAAAAGAATATCGCAGTCACGTGACAGTAAAATCTACTGGCTTTAAAGTCGGGCGTCGCTCCTCTGTAATCTTCAAAGGACAAGTATCAGCCTAGTGATTTGTTGGGTTATTTTATATGAGACCAATACAATAGCTATAGCTGTGTACCTTCAAATACACTTTGATATATTCTAGAGGTGAAGAGAGCGGTGGTGAGCATAACCTCATGAGTATCGAGGATGAGATACGTATACAGATACTGTCAGATATATTATTTATGAATGAAAGTAATTTGTTTAAATACTTGTTGGATTCCTGAAATTTCATCAAGACATTTTCAATATGTATACACATTTGAAATGGGAATTTTGGATCAAATAAGGGTAAAATTGAACGAAATATGGGAATTTTTTATATGACAAATCCTGGGCCCGTATTCATGAAATCGTTCTCATGCTCAAGCATGGATTCTGTGTTTAAACTAGGTTTCTTGTTACTCACTTCAATCATGACAAACAATCAAAAAGTCAATTGTACACATTGAAACAGTATTCTGCTTTAAGTTTTTTCTTTTTTTCCCCAAAAATTATTGACAAAGTAAGATTATTTTCATAATTAATGACAGGAACAAGAATTGAGGCTTGAGCATGAGAATGGTTTCATGAATAAAGGCCCTGAACTGGTCATGAAATCGGATCTTCCACCTCACATGACAAAGTACTAGATTTCAGGGTTACTCAAGGATCGGTGTTAGGACCACGAAAATATTGCATGAACTCCAAACCGATTGGAGGGATTTGTCATCGCCATAGCTTTCGCTATCATTGCTATGCTGATGACACACAAATTTACATGGTCATCAAACCACAGGACAGTTGGAATACCGTCTCAGAAAGTCTGGAATCTTGTCTAACAGATATCAGTATCTGGATGAACGCCAACATGCTTAAATTTAATCAGAAAAAGACAGAACTAATCGTCTTTTCCCCAAAGTGTCAGCAAACAATGACTCTCCAGCTCAAGGTTGGTGCCAGAACTATTGAGACTGTTCCAGCTGTTAAACCCCTAGGGGTATACTTTGATAGTTCACTGAACATGGAGAAACAAGTCAACGCTATTGCCAAATCCTGTTACTACCAGATCAGGAACATCGGCTGTATTCGCCAGTTTTTAACTGCAGATGTATGCAAGATTTTGGTGCATTCACTTGTTACCTCTCGGTTGGATTATGGTAACGCACTGCTCTGTGGTATATCTGACAAACTAACTAGTCGTCTGCAGAGGGTCCAGAACACTGCAGCACGGCTAGTTACTCGTACTCGAAAGAGAGAGCACATCACACCTGTGCTTTATTTGTTGCACTGGTTACCTGTACGATACAGGTCACAGTACAAAATTCTGGTGTACACATACATGGCACTGAATGTAGGTACTGAGGAGCTTGTTACCCAGTATCAGCCGTCATGATCACTGCGGTCGGAGTCAGAATCTTTGTTGTGTGTCCCAAAATCTTGTATTGTGACCTACGGAAACAGATGCTTTGGGAGGGTTTCGGTTACGTTGTGGAATAGCTTACCATCTGCTATTAGAAAGTCAAATACCCTGGCCAAGTTCAAGAGGGACATCAAAACTCACCTCTTCATGTCTGCATTTCAGAATCTTTGCAAAGACGTTATGTAAATACCACCTTTTATTTGTTCAATTATGTGCACATTGCTTGCTTAAATGTATAAAAGTGATTGTAAGCCTTTGTTTTTTTGTTTTCACAATTATAACCATTAGTATTATCCATATGTTGTAAAGCGCTTTGGAGTAATTTTACAAATTATATAGGGCACTATATAAATGTTGTATATTTTTATATTATTATTATGAGCAATTGTCAGCAGCTCACACCTAAAAAGCTGGATTAACAGTATTTCCTTTGACCTCCTCCCAAACCCAGAAAGATTCACTCACCTGTCCTCTTTCTTGCCAGACCTCTGTTTACCATCCTCCTCAGATTTCGGGCCTAGCTGTTGGTACGTTTCCTCAATCAACTTTGCACAGTTAGAACTTTGTTGTGACATTTTGTCTAGTAAGCATGTGATGAAATGTGAGCCGTCCCCAACACGTGACAATGAAGGAAGTCTTTTACACATTGACAGCGGTACATAGGAACCAGCCTTGCCCGAAAGCTTACAATGCAGTTTCATTAAAAGAGAAATTAAACTCTCGTTGATAGGGATTGGAACAGGTGGAGCTGTCTCTGTAGATACACCTTTACTTTCGTATTTTGGTTTGTCGTTTGTTTTGGCACCGGAGTGACTAGAGAGAGAGTGGATTGGCATGACCGGAAACGTTCCCTCGCTTGACATGGGAACCAGAGCAGGATGGCTGGGAATGTGGCCGGAGTGGGCCGCAGTTATCGGGCCTCCTGAACCTGTTGTAACAAAATACATACATTTGTATTTTATAATAATTAAAACGTTTTCTGTACTGTATTTCTCTTTACCTTAAATCCAATGTGTAAATGTGTCAACTCATTCACCCCTGAAATGTCATAATGAACTATTCCAACCTTTGAATTGGAAGAGTTCAAATGTGTCTTCAGGGGTGAATGAGTTAATAAAGTATTATGATATTAACACAAATTCATGTAACACATTCATACATACAATACTCTTGTCAACATATACAGGCCTTGTACAGGAAAGTGATCTTGATATATATATTCAAGGCTTTTAGGGCCTGTTAAAGGCATTTTTCAGTAAAACTAAGGCAAAATCTCCTGCCATGTGCAAATTCTTAAAATACAGAGATCTGGATGTGTTATCTAAACGCACCTTCTAGATACCAAGCAACCTAATTATAACACTGATTGATTATCTGAAAATCTAGAAATTCAATCTGGTAACAAATATTTCATGTTCTTGTATTCAAAAAAGGGGCTTTAAGGTATTTTCATCAATTTTTAGGGCTTTTAAAGGCCAACCCTTTGTTTAAAGGGCCTTTCCGGGGCCTGTATGATGATCGATCCCCGATATAATTGATCCATATCTGTTAATGGTCAGCTGTTACATCACATGTAGATCATGAGTATGTTGTTGATAACTTTACTGTGTACAGTACAGTGGAAAGCTTGTTAGATCATGAGACATAACATATCTAACTTTCAAGAGTTAATTAAATATGATTACTTATTATATGCATGAACATTTCTCGCCATCACATTGGTCGGATCCTATACACGTGACCAGTCTTCAAAAACTCATGTAGACTGGTTATCCGGTGAATATCGATTTCTAAATATAGCCTGTATGGAAATTCCTCGGAACCTGTTGTAGCGCATGCGCAGTTAGACTGGAACGCGATCTGTCAGACGACATTAGAAGATGGCTGCTGGCAAACGTTTCTCCTCCGTTACATTAGAAAATTACCGAAACTATTCGAGGATAAAGATGCTGATAATGTAAAAAAGGCCATTGAACATGCAGTGCATGTCCTCCATGCTTATCTTAAGAAAAGGAATCTAGACGATACCTTCGAAAGCTACAATGATGAACTGTTGTATTCAAACCTGGTTAAATTTTACACGGAGGCTCGCGTACAAAAATCAGAACCTTTAGTTTTGTTTTGTTTTGTTTAATTTTATTGTTGAAGTATATAATAAAACAGTTATGGGCTTTTGTGCTGGTAAATATGATGTGATATGATCCTGAAAGAGTGATATTAACCTCGGCTTCGCCTCAATATCACTCTTTCAGGTTCCTATCACATCATATTCATCAGCACAAAAGTCCATAATTGTATATTAAACACAAACTGCACCACGACAAACTGCACGATGACCCAAACACAAATTGCACGATTCCTTACTCAAAACAGTGCTTGGTGCCATCTGGAACATCTCCTCGAGACTAGAGTTCATGAGGTCAACATCAGCGGGGAAGGTGAAGTTGTCACCCGGCTCGAGGCTGAGGACTGAGACATGCACCTCCTTAATAGTATCACAAGCATTTTGAAGTAAATTGGTGGAAGAAAACCAGTCCTTGTAATCTCCGTTAGGGGCACAGCCTCGAAATGTTTTGGTCTGAAACAGAGACAAATGACATCAATGACCATTAGTACAGCGGTTTTGCTGTTTTTAGAAATGGTGGTAGTTTACAGAGATATAATTTTTCCTTAAGGATCCCTGTTCCACTACACTGAAGCTGTTATTATATGCAGCAACCTCCGCTTAACTTCAGTTTGGATATTATTGTAGAACAGTTTGGCCAGGGCCAGGACACTTCCCTTCACCAGGTTGCTTAATCGGTTAAAGCGATAGTTTAGCAGCCTGAAGTTGAGGGTTCGAACCCGAGTCTAGCGTGTTGTGTTTGTTTAGCACTTACAACAACAGCGTTTGTGATTAAATTTAGTTTTTTTTATCTTTATAATTTCTCATAAAAGTCATGAAAGGTATGGTTTTCTTTTCAGAAATGATTTATTTTAAATGATTTATTTAAAATGATTTATTAAAGCCATATTCATGCCAGAAAAAAACAATATGCCATTTAAGATATTGCTTTAATGGGCTTGCAAAATTATAGATAAAAGTTGTGAAATCTTGAGCAACATTTTTTTATTCTATGAATTAATTGAAATCCACAGGTATACAAAATGTGATATTACTATCATAATGAAAAGATTTAAAACATTAAAATGAATTTGAATTATATAAGTATATACATAACATCATGATGAACTATTTTTTACTCTTCACTGAAATGAAAGCCCTAGGTTTCCAAAATTGCCTTTTAATTAATTGCAAACAATTTCAATACAGAAACACTTAAATGAAATGAAATCAATAAGTAAACAAATTAGATATTACTATCATAATAATTAGACGTTAAAACATTAAAATTATTTTTTTAAATTCAATTATCTAAAACATCATGATAAATAAACGTTTTTTTCGGAAATGAAAGCCATAGGTCTCCAAAATCGCCTGTTAATTAATTGCAATCAATTTTGAGACATAAACACTGTAATAACACGTACCCTTCTCCTGGTGTCTGTACATGGTAGGGTGAGTGCAAGGTTTAACAGGTGAATACAATAATACAGACAGCTCTCCGGTACATTATTACGAGTCAGTGCCTGTAAAAAAACAGAGGTTATCATAATCACACTCTAACAAGAAACTTGTATAAATTATCATCCAACTAGAGACATGGTATAATTATAAGTTGTCGTCAGAAATCGAACTGGGTTCTTATTGTATTTAAATGATGGAACAATAGTACGTATCTGTTTATGTATTACATTTACAAAACTCTTTTATTTTTCCTTTTTAAACATGAAGCTTCAAATGTTTTATTTCAAAGACTGGGTTGCATTTGTGTATCCCGGTTGAAATGGTGCAGGTGGCGCAAAAATATTCTGCAATAACAACTGCACTTGGACTGAACTGTAGACAGAGGTAAAAAATACACAGTTTTGGAGTTTTGTGACAAACAAATAACAATATTCAAGAATAATATACCCTTTCAAGCTCCCAGTAAATTATATAACATATCCAAACAAAATATCTTAGTGAATCGACCTTGTTTTTTAAAGAAATAATGCAAACAAGTAATAGTCAGCATTTTAGTTTCGATCAGGCATATGTCTGGACATATGAGGTCAGCCATGGTTCAGATCTGATCAGTGTGTCCTTTTTTTTTCAGGTTCAGCTGATCGAAAAAGTTGAACCGGATATGCAAAAGAGGCCCTGGTGATCTGCAATAAACTTGGTTTTCATATGACCTCTACCGTTTCAGGGATCTTAAACCCTGACCCATAATAATAGGGATTATCCTTTACAAATCTCAAATACCTCTGTACAATCTATAATCCTTACCCTATGTAAGACTGTAAATAGGAAGGCATGAAGAGTTCTACAGTGGAGAATCTTAAACATGTCTTTATATGCGGGGTTTATCTCCCCTGGAGGTTTGAACGGGGGCCAAGGCGGTGTCTTCCCAGAATACTTCCCGTTCTGCCGAACACTGTGAATATATAAAAGTCCTCTTCACCAAAGTCAAACAAAAGCTCAATCCATCTAACCAACATCGTAATGTTGCATTTAACTAATCAATATAAATATACTATGTTCACATATTTTCTACAAATATTTCCGAAGTTAATCTTATTTTCCAACCTTTTTTTATTTCCTAGTACATTTTCATGAAACTTAATGTTTGGCTTTAGACTTTATAATACAAGGAAACCACTATATCTTTAAAGCATTTATATCCATATCTTTTTACTGTGGAATCGTTTATTTTTGTGGAGTTTTATTTTGTGGCTAATCTTCATCCACAAACTTATAGGTCCACAAGATTAAGGTAATTACAAGTTTGATATCAATCTATTCTCTGTATGAGTTGGTACTCGACACTACTCGTAATCCATGAATTCATGTACCCACGAAATGTGTTTTTTTTGGGGGGGGGGCATGAAATTTGGGCACCACGAAAATATCTGATTTCACAGAATCTTGCATTTATTTTTGACATTTCACCTTCATGCTGGGTGTCTTATCTAGCTATAAGCAAGTCAGGTATAAATCACAAATTTAAATGATAAAACAGGTTTTTTAAATACATCACATTCCTTATGTGGTTTTAATTTGCATATCGTGAAAGACGTAAATTCTTTTTTTTTAATTAATTGTTGAAATTTATGATGTAATCATTGCTTGATTGACGTGAATGATAATGATAGAAAAAGATGATGAGGAAACTTGTTTATGATGATGATGATGATGATGATGATGATGAGAAATATGAATATATATAGATGCTAATGATGAAGATGAAGAATAGATGAAGATGATGTTTATGATATTGGAAGTGTATGATGATGTTGATTGCTTTAATGCTAATTTTTTTTTTTTTTTTAGTTAATTTATAAATGGACAATTATGATAACTGACAGTCTTCAAAACGTCTCACACCATTCAATTACTTCTATGTACTTCAGTTTAAAATCATCTTTTTGCATTCGAAGCAGACAGCATGTTACTTCAGTTCAAGATTTACAATTATCATTTTCAAAACATTTTAAAGAGAAAAAGAAATGTTGCACTTACAATGCGCTGTATCTGTCCATGGAAGATTGGAAGTCCTTTTTGTACACGGCTCGTAAAGCGACATGGACAGGGTCAAACTCCCTCTCCCAAATAAAATCTGAAACGCAAGTGGTCAAGTGTCAATGACAAAAATAATGTCCAATTATATATATATATTGAACTTGATAAATTTCAATGTCCAAGTATATTTATTTTGAACTTGATAAATTTCAATGTCCAAGTAAATTTATTTTGAAGTTTATAAATATTAATGTCCAAGTACATTTATTTTGAACTTGATAAATTTCAATGTCCAAGTTTATTTATTTTGAACTTGATAAATTTCAATGAATTACAACGGAGTGGAGACAACACCGGTAATCATCTAAATTGCAATGGGATTTCAACTTATAAGGGACGTTGTTTATCTTACCAGCCCTTTGATTGATAAATTTCAGACAATTATACCGGTTTTTCAATGAAGATTTTGTATGGATTCGTTTTGAATTTTTCTCTTTAAACTATTCAGGTTGTGGATATTTTTTAGTTGCAATACATCTATTTTGTTGTATGCCATTATTTGTGCTGATTTATGATTTCAGCAAATTTAGCAAAACTTTCCAGAGGCACTCATTTGTTGAACTTTACCATTAATGTGACGATTCTCATAGGAATACCTAATCTGGTATGACTGAATGTTACATGAGAGCTGTTACTTTTCTAAATCAGAAAAAAATACCTGTAACTTTATTTTACATGATAATAATACATTTGTATGCATGTATTGCAATTAAAATTATCACTAACATATTAAATTAATACAGGGAACTCAATTTTTTTGCACAAATTGAATTTTTTTCTTTATTGTAAATTTGACTTAAAAATGTATAAAGATGCTAAATAAAACCGTTTATGCTATAACTGTACATGTAATTACTACACCCTTGAACACAAACCTTTAGGTACATAGGTTCCTTGTTGTAATCCTGCCCCTGCCTCAAAGTTTGGTGCTTTATAATCTGCCAACTAATCAGCATTAAATGCAAAAGAGTTAAAATGACATAAAAACTTGTCGATCATGTTAAAAATGTATACAAGATTATACCCTATTAATATATAGAATCGCATGCATTATAATGAAAACCAATGTAAAATTTCACATTCGACTTTTTTACCCTCTGTACATGTGATGAGGGCGTATTTATCATTACAGAGAGTATAACTAAACAACATAATATACATAGCAACTAAATGTGAAGGGCAAAAATAACGCTGGGTGTATACAGTTGGTCATTGTGTATGTAGTGTGATTGTCATTCTCGTAATTATACACAAATCACCTCCTTCAGTGTGGGTTCAAATAGTTCCGTGCCATGACCTATCATTCCCGACTTCTCCGGCATCAGGTCGGTCAGTTGGCTGTGCTGGCGGTCACTGACACACAGCAATGTGGACATCTCAAGTCTGACCAGGTCCTTCTCGTCTATACCTGTACCCAGTAATATACCATCAACAACACTCTCAGTGTAACATACCGGTGATAACTCAATCATTAAGTGTGGTAATTTTTACAGCTTTTTATGTATACGTTAAGTTAATTACATTTCAATCCAGTTAATTTTGCAACATAACAATTCTGTGCCTGATGTGAAGACAATAGTAATTATTATACCTCATCTTTTTAAAACTGTATCTGATTGGATGATACTGGTCCCATGACATGGCAATCAAACATATGTCGCCTTCACCAAGCATTCTCTTGGGAGAAGACTTACATTGTATAAAGGCTATGCCTGTTGTCTAATCCCTTTGTTTCGAAACAATAAAATATCTTGACTTGCATCATGCACTCAAACTTTCCCAATCGTATTTCCCTTATTCGGAGCCTCCCTAAAAAAATTGGCAAGAGCCACCACAACCTAGTTCAGAATGACAGAAGCAGATGACAACAATGGCGCTTCAACCAGCTGGTCATTTTCTTTTTTTTTTGGATATTAAAATATTTAAAGATGTTTCTGTAGGGAAACACAATTTTTTGTTTCTTTGAGGTAAATCATTTTTTTTATTTTTTTTATTTTTTTTTTTGAAATGTCACATAGACAATTTTATTGGTTGTGTAAAAAGAACTTCTCATAATCCATACTTACCAACCTGAAGAAAATGTTTAGAAATAAGTAATTGTAGTTATAATCGACTCCACACATTTTTATTTGAATTTCTTAATTTTGCATATCGGGTATATCTTTGAAACTTATTTGAAACATCGCGCAGGAAGGTACACATAATTTAGCATTAACTTTATGTGTGAGAAAACAAACGTGGCTGACGTCAACCTCATTTTTATTTATTTTTTATTTTCTATTATATTTTCAAAATTTTATGACATAAACATATATATAAATATACATACAATGTACATGAGCGTCTAGAATCGCCTTTAAATAATGTATATACTGTTCAAAATATTCTATCAAGTGTCAGTATTCGTCTTACATTATATATTAACAAATAAGTAAAGATTCACATTCTGATATGAAAAATAAACTTCCGGATATTCTTGTCCGTACTCTATTCTAATTAAAATTGTATTATAATCCAGTGTCTGATTTCCGGTTAGAGTCACGATGGTGAACAGACTTCGAGGTAAATCATGTTTCACAAGGGCAAGTGAAACATGATTAACCTCAGGGAAACAAAGAACCATGTCTCCCTACAGTAGGGTAATAAATATATAATGTTTCACTATTTTGAAGTGTTAATGTCTGAATTTACAGCTTCAAGCCCCATAACTCCAGCAAAAATAGTGGAATCACAAATTTCTTTCCTCATGCACATTATAACATATGATGTACTTTCACTGTGTTACGCCCCCAAAAAAACAGGCGGCGTTACGCTCACAAGGATCATGGACAGACTGATGGACAAAAAGATATAATAATTATACTGCCAAACTTTGTTTGGCGGTTGTTATAATAAGTATGTCTACACCCTAAATCTACTAGCAAGCCACAGTGAACTTACCTAAGTATGTCCGCACTCCTAGAAGAGTGACCAGATATGACAATGCAGCGTCCACCATGGCCAGTTGTTGCTCCAGCTCCAGTTTAAAGCTCGGGTCTGTGTTGGGGTGGTTTGAGTAGGATAACCAGTCAGTCACATGATATCTTTAAAGTCAATATATATATCTCAGACAAGTTTGATTTGGCTGAAAGTCCTCAAATGTTAAAAACAAATATGTGTTCTACGACTGCTGTTCAGCTTTTCATTCAAAGAACCATACTGAAAATTTATCCTAAATAGTCATGACATTTTACATTATTAACATAAATTATAACATGTTTACGAATAACAATTAACTGTACATAATTAAAGTAAAAACATATGTAAATGTGTTCCTTTGATGTCGTTTACAGTGCATATACACATCACAATTCTCAGGAATGTTTTAATACTTGATGATCCATAAAATGTTCATGATATCTGCAATCTTAGATGAAAATGTGTGCATGGATTTACTGTTAGTAAAATACTGTTAACCGGGAATGTTTTGCCGCAGATCAACTTTCACCTTTTTCGCCCTCCCCTATGTATTAGTACACAACATACAATATATAATAATTACATATTAAGGGCGAAATTTACACTGGACAAACTTGGACTTTATCAGTAAAGTGTGAATATATACAGTAGTTGTGACGAGTCTTACCTTTCTAAAACAGTCTGTACAAAGTAGTCGGGGTCCAACTTACAGGCACACACCTACAAAACACAAACAAGATTGATTTTTTTCTTGGTTGGAAAACACTCTTTTTTTTTTAAGGGAAAATTTCAAATTTTTACTCTCCTTTTTTAAATCTTATAACTGAAAATCTTTAACAGCTCAAATGCAAATAATTCATTTCAAATTCTGGCCTTATATAGGCATTTGATGACATCATGTTTTCATCTTAGATTTTTATTAGTACTTTTCAAGACATTTTTACATTTTGCCACATGGTCTCTCCCCCAATGAAATTTTGAATGGTATGTTAGACTCTTTTCCATCAGCAAAGTGACTTTAGCAGTTGGTCAACCTAGCTATACCTGTTGTAGACATAGATCAGCATCCACCATGGAATAGCAGAAGTGACACTGGACATAGGTCATCGCTTGACCACGGATCTGGAGACCATTCCTTATCCACATGTTGGCGTACACCTCAGAAACACAGACCTACAAAGAAAGCAAATTATTAACAATATTCATACTGACCATTGATTGCCATATATTTTTAGTCAGTTAATTGATTTTTCAATCACATATGCATATGTATTCGAGTGCAGTGTGCTGAGCCTCAAAAATCTTATCCTTAGGGTTGGGATTATCAACATCACACAGAAGGGATAGACTATTATCAACCATAGCTATACTGAGTAACTTTAAGTATTAACATTATTTATTTTACAACAATTATGAAACAAGTTATTTCAACTTATACATGTATATTATGCTCCCTAGGTAGTTGAGAAAGATATTGGCTAGTTGCAAAGGCCCTATAACCACGGATAATAATTTGTGAACCGCTTTGAGACGACCTACTAACTAGTTTGTGATAAAGCCGTATATAAGAACCTCAAATTATTATTATTGTTATTAATCAATCTTGTTGGCCTGAATTTTAGCACGGAGGGGGGTCTTATTGTAGGAGGAAACTGGAGTACCTGGAGAAAACCCATGTGTTCCGGCAGGTGACCCCATACCTTTTCATGTCTGATCAGAGAATCAAACCCTGGCCTGGTGAAAGGTGAGTGTGTAATTATCCACTGCCCCACCCGACCACCCACCGAGTAACTTTAAACACACAATCTTGTCTTACCTGTATCTGTAACAGGTGGTGAAGGATAGTTTTCATCTTCTTTGGAGCCAAATCAAAGTCCGTAATAGGGATCTCTTGATTCTGAACACCATGTACCAGGAATATTGCCAAGTAGCGATGTAACGGCAGGTGAAAGGACAACTGGTATGGATTCGGCTGAGGACAAAATACATAGTCTCACTGCACTGAATGAACTATTACATCACCATAAAAGAGCTGAATTACAAATTGTATTAAAATCAATTTGTTTGTTTCCAAATCCTTTTGTGTTATTGCAATGTCAATTGAATATGTCTCAATAAGATAGTCCATATTTTCTAAATAATTCTCATCAAAATTACACCATGAAGGATTACCTAAAAACTCAAATGGAAGTCCAGATTTTCTCTTCAATATCCATGGGGTTGGATTTTTATTATATTTTTTTTAATATTTTATTGAAGTTGAAATAATTCTTGACACAGGAATTCCATAAATGATTCAAGGTATTTTTTTTTTAAACTGAATAAACAAAGCTTTTCAATGAACGCTTTTAGATCCATTATTTGCTGCTTTACTTAAATGCAAGAAAATAATTCAGAGAAAAAAATGTTTCAAATTCCCTTATTAAAAATAGGCATTGTACAATGTTAGTAACTGTAGTGTAGTTGTGAAATGTCCACTAAAAAAAATATATTATTGCACAGTCATACAATGACAAAATACAATGAGTCTAGTTTAAAAACCTCCAGTTCTGTTTTTTTTTTCTATGATGAATACATTCAAATAAATTTATCACAAATGTATTTTTTTCAAAATGGCTTTAAATATGTCAATGAATCTATAGCTATCTGGTTTCTAGAAAGTCAATTTCCATTAAAATTAAAAACCCTGCTATAAATCGTTCTAGACTGCTATACCTATCATAAAGACACCTTAAAGTTTCATATAAATCTTAACCCTTTGATCTTTCTTTCCATGTTTTAACTTATTCACCCCTGAAGACACATTTGAACTCTTCCAATTCAAAGGTTGGAATAGTTCATTGTGAAATTTCAGGGGTAAATGAGTGAATACAGATAGAATTTAATTTCTTGTCTACAATATAGTAGAAATGCTATTCCAAATGTAACATGATCCTATTTAGGGAAGCTATAGATTCATATTACCTTTGTAGACTCCATACAGTTGATGGCATCGAACCATTCCCTCAGGTTCTCCAGACAAACAGATACCATACTCTTGGTGAAATTGGCCGTCTCCTAAAAACAATAACAACACTGCTTGCTACAAAAGTTCACTATGATTACTGTGAAATCAGATATTTTCGTAAGGCCAAACTTTTGTGGTTTCCAGAAAACAAACCCCATTTTGTGGGTTCATGAAATCGTGGGTTCATGAAATCGTGGATTATGAGAACCCACTCATACGGAGATTGGCTGTATGTCAAACTTGTAATTACTTCGCAGACCAATAGATTCGTGGATGAAGATAACCAATGAAATCAGTGAAATTAAATACCTCGCAAAAAATATTGATTTCACAGTAACTGTTTAGCTGTACACATTCTCTTCCATAGTCAAGTGTCTTTGTGGTTATCTGTTATGTAGTGGGAAATTTATTTTACTGAAAGTTTGCTGTAGTCAAAGAAATAATGGATATATCCATGAAAATAGAAGAAATAAACCAGGAAAGTGCTAAATTCGAAGACATTGCTTTCTTCAGCTAATACATGTATACGTAGTTGTAAGTTATCAAAATTTACTTAAAATACATTCTGTATGAAAACAGTTTTGAAAAGTCTTCTGGCCAGGGTGATAAGCAAGGAAAGGTTGAATTCTGCATTATATTTTTTGTTGATGTAAACTTGACCAGATTACTGTATACCAGGACACTTTCACACAGCCATACACTGCTGAATTCCATTTTTTTTCCAATGGTAATTTCGCCCTTCTCATCTTATTACTATTTATTATATCGCATATTGTTCACTGTAATTATGCGGAGAGTCAAAAAGGTGAAAAATTATTAAACATTTAAAAAAAATTGGTATACAGTACTTGTATATATATCTGTGATTCATGTAAAAGATGAACAGAGCTTTTAAGTTCCAGCATCAAAGAGGTTTGATTATGACTGCCATTGTCTTTTTTAATACTTATACTTAATTTATGAAATATATAGATTAAGGATTTTTTTGATTTTTTTAGGGGGGGGACCAAGATTGTCTATCTAACATCAGAAGATTTTACCTTATTTTTGCAGTGGAACATGAGAGACCACATTGGTGACGAAGCGATTTCCAGTTCGGCTGAGAAGGCAGCGTAGTATGTCTCTGGTTCGAACCCCATGTGCTGGCTCAGCTCACGCTGGTTCAAGTTCATACCTGGTTGAAATTGGAAAAGATAATGGCTATCCTGAGCATGAAACTTAATTTTTAATTGTTTGTTTCCTTTTTCCCTACTTTAAAGTTACTCTAGGGAGCATCATCAGAGAGTTTGTAGAGTCAATTATATAAAATCTAAATTTAATATGGTATTGTTGAGCATACTACGGTACCGTGTCCCATCTTGAATATGGATTGAAAATGAAATATTTAAGCTGAAACAAAACTCTGGGGAGAATCCTATTATTCTATATATTTTTAATAGCCCTAAGAAAGTCTTAAGAATGAACCACTCATTAATTAACAGAGGGTGGGTGAATCTCAGTCTAGCACCTCACCTTGGAAGTAGCAGAGAAGTTCAAGCCACATGTTGATGAGTCGAAGGTCGCCGAGGAACTTGTGGGATATGGATTGATGGGACAGAAGGTTAATGAGGTCGCTGACCACTGGCCAGTAACAGTGGTCCTTCATCACATCGTTATCACAGTCCACCACCATGTGCATGTTCATCTGGGCATCTACAGCAAACAAGGTTCATTTCAATTCTAATCAAATTCTGAAACATTTCAATGGAATTTCCATACTAGTAGGTTAGATTCATACAGAATTACGACAATCTTTGAAAAACATGTATGACACGTATGAGCCAATCACAGTCCTCGTTACTGGTGTAAAAACACAACTGAAATTTCAAGTACATGATCATGTGCCGACAATGTCATGAAATCCTTAAATCTCAAGAGCATCAATCGTGACTCTAATTAATCAACAAAATAAACGTTTCAAAATACCGTTATATTATAAATTATATACTGATTCAGAATTAGAGGTATTATCAATAGATTGTCATTTTGGGAAAATAAGACACCTTTTTAGCTAGGGGAAACAGCCTGTATTGGTCAGTAAAACTGAGCAAAAAGAATCAATGGTAATAGCCTTGTTGTTGTGTACGATTTAAATATGTCATAAGTTATTTCACTACAGCTGAAGCTTCTATTTATAAAATAGGTTTTACAGACATCATATTCTATTGCGGATAAATATCACGGTAAGGTCTCCTTAAGGCGTACCTTGTAGTGTGCTCTGCGTAACGATGTTCTCCACCATGTGGGTGAGACTTAGGATGAGGGTATACAACAGGTTATACTCTTCGACCATCTTTTTAGCCAATGTCTCGTTACTAAACAACTGCACGCTGATGTGGACAACCCGATTAGCGATGGCCGGCCGACTCAGTCCGTTCACCAGCACCAGCGATATCCTGCTGTAGTGATCAATGAAGGCTCTGGTAAACGCTTCCTGTTGAAAAAAAAAAGTTTAATAATTAGTTGACACAAGCTGAAGAGCCACAGTGAGATGATAAAATCAAAGTGCACATGGCACTGGAGGATTGGCGGCATGAGTGTATGGGTTTTTACAGATTTTATCCGGAAAGGCTGACAATCCAATCAAGCCCCGTCTGATAAAAACCTTTAGAAATAACATATAAATGCATTGCAACGTAAAAATTGTCAAATTTAGTAGAATTAAGCAATATCTTAGATGTAACATTTTTCCAGCTCAAGGAAGGAGTGGATATTTTCTAAAATGGCTGGGGAATCTTTGTACTTTTATACAAAACATGACAGAAGATTGTAGTCAGAACGGCTGATCATGATCAACCATCTCTTTTAAAAGCCACTTCTTATGTTTCCCATAAGTGATTTCACTGTGAGCTAAACCTGTATTAAAAGTCCACCTGTGTTAAGTGACCACTTTTTTGGACTTTCTGAGAGTTTGTTTCTATAACAGGACAGATTAAGGAAATCCTTGTACAGTATGTTAATGAATGCGGGTTGAGAATATTCTACCCAGTGAGTATAGTTTTATACAATGTACGCCATCCTGAAATTGATTCTGTAAGACATGCCTTGTAGTCGTCGTCCGGAAGTAGGCTGAGGAGAAGAGTGACCATCCTCTGTGGGAACTCAAACTTGACCATCCAGAAGACCAGTTCCTCCAGCAGGGTTTGGTGGTTTAATGTCTGTGTTAGTCCTGGCATCCCAGCCAGCATTCCTGGAGTTAAACAATGTTAAACATTTAATACAGTATTCCTACATTTACTGTACACCAATGTCACTAGCAAATCTACACTTAATCTTCGAATTATATACAAGGCCTTTAGACATTTTTCTAGATAGCTATTTGGACAGATTAATCTTAATTTTTAACTTTATAGATTTATTTCTTATTTGGGCTTTTCCATGAATTATCATACAGGGGAGTGGCAGGCACCTGTATTATTATATAATTGGTGGTAGTTGTAAAACCAGATCTGCCTACAGTTTCTGATATTAAATCATATTAAATATTTTATGGGTGGTCTGATAGTGCCCCCCATATGGTTATTTCTGGAATGCTCCTTAAAGAAAAAAAATGTAAATAATAATTTTCTTTTTCCAATTTTGAGCAACAGGAAACAAAACAGAGACCCAAAATCAACAAATACCTTTTGATAGAAATTAATTGATAAAATTGTTTTATACATATTTGCTGCATTTATTTGCTTTATGATTTTTTTTCACTCATGCTGTAATAATTTCCTTTTCCAAAGAAAGCATTAATTTCTATGTGTACAAAAATAGCTATTAAACCTTACAAAAATGAAAGAAACCTATTATAATTACTATATATCAATTTAATGTTATAATTAAGGAAGTCTCGATTGTAAGTGGTTCCTATTTAACAATTACAATGCCTGAAATTTTGTCCTGTTGGTTGCATGACTATCACTGACATAAATGCAAAGGTCCAGAAAAATTGGGCAAGGCCAAAACATGAACATTTATATTACCTATGTAATCGTCAAAGACTTTTGGGTATTTCATATTTTCTACTGTGGCTTTGAATTTCTTCTGGCTTTCTGCTTTATAGGAAGTTGTATCCTCTTCTGGATTTTCAACTGCAAAATAAGAAAACACAACAGATAGTTATAGACTTTTATATACAGCATGAAAAATTGTCTAAATTTAAGCATCATGTTGCTCTTTTTCATACCATAAACCTTAACACCTAACAATTAAAGCTGATCTTAATGATACTCTACATTGATAATCTAATGATACTTTCCATTGATAATCTTAATGAATTTTGCATTACATGATGACAACAAGGTTTACGTTAAGCAGTACATACGCCCCGTCACACCTTTAATTGAATACAGGGCATAACTCCGTAAATTACTGCCGGATAATGGAGGTTATTGAACTCATCTGAGCTTTTATAGTAATTAACCTTGAACTCATCTTACCTTTTATAGTAATTAACCTTGAACTCATCTGACCTTTTATAGTAATTTACCTTGAACTCATCTTACCTTTGATAGTAATTAACTTTGAACTCATCTGAGCTTTTAAAGTAATTAACCTTCCCATGAAGTTTGAGCTTTTAAAGTAATTAACCTTCCCATGAAGTTTGAAGTTAATCCATTGAAAATTACTTGAGATGTTGAGCGGACACTGTTTCAGCAATTGATCCAAGGGACATAACTCAGTAAATAAAGGTCAAATAAGGGTGGTTATCTAATTTGTCCGAGCTTACATGAAAATTAAACTTCCTATGAGTTTGAAGTTATTCCGTTAAAAATTACTCTCACCTGATAGCATAATAGGTCCTGTGTTTTGACGGACATATAAAAACTATGATTTGAAATGTGAATTTTCTGAAGAAATTTTTGAGAAATATTTGCTGCTCTTCTTGCTTATTATATACATGTGCTAACTATTTTACCCTGTGAAGCAAGGAAACAATAAATATATGAACAACATTCGTCTTTCATCATGTCACATGGAAAAGTCTTCAATTTGTTAAAGATATATGCCAGATAATTAACTCCTATACACTATCTACATAGATTCAATTATGATCTTCATATTATCCCTCAGGGGCAAAATATATATATATCTTTTTCATTAACGTATTAAGTAAAATGTCCACCTGATCTTAAAAATCAATCAAGTCACATGACCCCCTGACCGAGGACCACATCGTATATGACTTGCTGACCTATGAAGTCATATGACCTGCCAGAGTGGCATACTAACCTTCTGTCATGTTTTTGTAGATGACCGGGTTTGTGAGTGCCTGGCCCATGACTTTCCTCATGGCTGCCCCCATGTCACTGAGACTGTGCAGGAAAGTGAGGTACTGCTCTGCATCCTGCATGGCCAGAGAGTAGGTACCCTGCATGTCTTTACAAACAGAAAAATAATCTGAATTACATTTTTCTTTCACAAAATCCAGTCTCAATTTAACAGTAATCTATTGTAACAGTAATGCCAGCTGCAGATACTCATCATTACACAGTCAAACTCAGTTTAGTGAACTCTGTCGGGTAGAACATATTATTTCAAAATAAAGTGGAACTGGCATGGACTGGGTCCATCGTTGGCTACCAGGTATACACGTAGCTCAATTGGAAGAGCGTCGGTTTAGAGTTTGGAGGGTCCTATGTTCGACCTGGTCTTGCTGTTGCATTTCTCTTTTTTTCTGTTAAAATATTGGTGAGCTTGCAGAATTCGAACCTGGAATCTTAAACTACAAATATAACTGGGGTTCAGTTTTACTGATGTGCATTATGTATACTGTGACCCAGAAATATTCCCGTAATATAGTGAAAACAAACTACAGGACAAACCCATAGTACCATGAAGTATATAATATGCAAAAATCATCATTAAATAATCTTCCTCATAGTAAGTTACCTGGATTTGAGCTGTCTCTGAGATGGTGTATGAGTCGGAGGACTACTCTAGGTAGCATGGCTTCGGCGATGGCCAGCAGGTCTAGAGGAGGGGTGGAGTGTTGCTTCCCACGGTCTGGTCCATGACGCAAACAAAACCTGCAGAAATGATATTCAAGACAGAACTTTATGTGGGGAAAGAAAACATCAGGGCAAATCTCAAACTGACAAATTAAACCTACGAATATTCAGGATCAACCCATCAAAAATTAAATTATCGTATATAGTTTCTATGATTTTTTTTCACACAAGATATGTTCAGGATCTCTTCATCCAACCACACTACAGGCAAAATATTATTTACTTTGTGTTTATTCAGAAGAACCTGATAAATGATGTTAACATATTTGGCCCCTGACCTTGAAAGTGGGTCAAGGTCATTCCTCCTATCCGCAATGCAAACACACTTAATATTATTGTTCACTTTATCCCAGTATGTTGAAAATGGATCATATATATATATAATACAAAAACATTAAAATATTAGGAAGTAATTGATATGCTTCGAAACTCTATCCTAAATGGCTAATTGTTTTGTTATAAAGAACAGATCTACTTTCAAAGCAAGAGTTCTTAGGTTCTACGACCCATCCTCGATATCCAGGGATCAGGGTTCTACCTTGCTTTAGTGTGTACAGTCAACATGTACAAAGCATACATCCATAACTATATACGGTTTATCCTTGGAAGTTATAAACTGGCCTAAGAAGGGAAATAAAGGTAAATATTTAAAACATTTTAAATTTCCTCCTGTTCAAAAGTAGGGAGTTTCCCCAAATGACAGGAATTATTTGTTTGACAACATGAATAGATTTATGGAAGATCTACATCTAAATTTTGTCATGGACACAACACAAAATATGTCTAGAAATATTACTTTATCAATTTTTTTTCCTAATGAATATAAATATCTTGAATAAAAATGTGGTTTACAACGTTAACGGCCCATTACAACTAATATATTTCCACAAATTTTAAAACAATTTCAAATGCATATTTCAGAATCTTATGATGTTTGTCACAATATCATAATTAAAATTAAATAAAAACCTTAATTATCTGAAAATTCTTAAGCTGACTGCTCTTTCCATTTTTTGTAAATATGTTGCAAAAAGTTATTCAAAAACTCTTACCACCCCTGGTACATGTAGGTCACTAAAATGATGGACAATGCAACTCTTTTTCACTTGACCAATTAAAAATCCTCAACAGGAAAATTTATTTGAAGCGATAATTTGACATGAATATTATTAAAGGGGAAAATTTGGTAAGTTTAACAATATTTACCCGTCTTTGTTCATGACACTGACGTCGCCACAGTCACACGCCCCGCCCGCTTTGCTGCGGAACATATTGAAGTCATGTCCCTCATGTTGTCCTGCCTGAAAACACTCTGCACACAGCGACATACACGGCGAGATCCCACAAGTCCGGCAGCGGTAAGCCACAAAGTTGGCGGTCCATACCAGTCCACAGATAATTGCATTGTCATATTGTTTAACTGCAATTTCAATAGAAAAACATGTTTTATTAATTAATCTAAATTTTGTGTTAAAAAGAAAAAGATAATATGTGTTGGTATTCAATTATCTGATGAGCTAACCTGTCGGCTGTTGACTATTTAGATCCAGAAATAAATGACTGGCCGTACATTAGACATAAACATTTTATTTCCTATTCAGAAAGGGCAAATGAATCCACAAAATGGAACAAGAAAAACCCACTGCACTGACTGTTGATCAGTTAACATATATACATACAGCTGTATGCATATCATCTAATGGTTTGAAATTACAGCATCCATAAGGTTTTTTTCTTTTTTGCATAGTGACTTTGATAGTGGGTCAGGTCTTTCATAATCATGTAGGTAAACCTGCAACCTTTATCTGCATATATATATATATATAATAGTCTCTTCATACGTCTCATTTGGGAATATTAGTCATATTATCAAAAGTTTATCTTTTTTAAATATCCTTTATATAAAAGATCAGTCATAATTTGTTCATGCTGAAAAGTTAACATTCAAATGGTAGTCCATGCATTATACTCTATTCTTTTTACTTCTACTTTTGAAATTTGAAAATGAACATTCTCTTTAAATCATTCACCCCTGAAGACACATTTGATCCCCATTTGATCTCCTCCGATTCAAAGATTGGAATAGTTCATTATGAAAATTCAGGGGTGTATGAGTTAGCTTTCAAGGGATATTACCCCAGAAAATCCACTATTTGTTACTTATCTTTTCTTTAAATGATTTTTCATAGTGTAATCACTAACAATTATTATTAAATCTCTTTTTCTATCAGCTGGGCAGTAACTCTAGATTTGTTTACAACAACCATAAATATCCTTCATTATAGGAATGTTACATATATATGTTATCTCAAAGAACTTCTGCTTATCTCTTCGACATATTGTTCATTGCATTCATAAACAGTGCATCATGGCATGCACATATATACATGCATCTCTGATTCAACCTTTTAAAAAAAATGGGACCAGACAGTTCCACTATTGTGTACTTTTTACAATATATTAAGTTATTGATCATAATATGTAGGACTAGTCTAGAAGAGCAATAACAATGTTATAAGATTAAAGCTATAGTATTTAAGTTAATGAGTATCTTGTGCCTGGTCCCTATGCACGTATTTATCAGATTATGCTGCCATTCCATTCATAGTGTTTGCACGTTCAGATGTAGGCGTACAGAAAATCGGCCAAGCATCCCAGGAATGTAAACACCCACGCCATGAACGCGCATCTTTACAAAAGATAACATTCATAATATATTTAAGCAGCTGTCAATTATATAATATTATGAAAGCATGAAAGAGGAACATTAAAAAGAACACCTGTTTTTGTGAATTCGTCAAATGTGGATCCTCCAGCAATCAGCCATCGACACCAGTCAATCGTGTCAACATCGTCAATAGATTTTGTTTTTGGGTCGAATAAACTGTCCAAAAGATTATTTAGCGATTGGTTATTTCCACCCCTGCGAAAACACTCTCCTTTATAATAACTGGCAGTATTTCGTTTCCCTCTTTTCATAAGAGCTGTCACTTCGGGTCCTGGTGCAGCCATGTTGATGTTTCCATGGCAGGACGACGGGAAGAAAATTAGACTTCCGCTCTATTTTCAAGTGTTTTTCACACCTGAAAATAGTCTAATTGTTAGCAACTTATACTTCTAAATGCCACACATCTTCCTAAAACTTCAATCACGCAATCTCTTCTCCTATAACTTGCATTTTACGCTGGTATTTACATACCACCACTGGAGCACCTGTAGGGTTGTCACAATTTATCAGATTAAAAGCACGGGTCAAGTGAAACGAAACAGCTTCAGTTTATTTTAGAGTGAGCTCCCTTTAATCAGAGATTAGAGATTAAAAACGATGGCGAACCAACAGGCTCAGGATTTATTCGAAGATCTGGAATTTTTGGGGGATGACGAATTGATTTCGTTGGCCATGGGAGCACCCGGGAAAGAAGCATTGTCTGGATGCACAGAAATAATGATGACAGCTACAGAATCAGCAATGGTAACGTTACTGTACTGACTATCACTGCAGAAAACGGGACAGAGTTATCTCCCTTCCATTGTTAAATGTCCAAAGGAACAATTAAAACTTGTATAATAATATTGTTCTTTTTGGTGCTATTTTCATTTTTGGATGCAGTAGAAGTAGTTTGTTGCTGTGTGTACTTGATTGGAGAATTAACAGATATATCTAAGATGCCACATGTGGTGCAGGAAAAGCACTTTACCCTTGCACCCCTATAGTCACATTGGAAATTTACCAAATCAAAGGGTGGGCAAATCAATTTCAAAAAATAGGACGGAATGAGTTAAAATTGCAAACTCCTGATTTTACCACTGATATAACCTGGTATCAGTTTTTGGAATGCCTCTGACCTTTTATTTTGGTGAAGCTGAGCAGGTGTGTAAAAATGAATACACAACACTGTGCATATTATAACCTTTATCAAAGAAAAAAAACCTCTCTTTTCTTCATTTAGTTTTGTATTATTTTGAGGAGAATCAGCTAATAAACATTCCTCCACGTTTATATATTTATTTTATTTCTTAAGTGTAGCATTATATTAAAAGTGTTATATCGTATCGAAACGTACCGAACCGTGAATCAGCTGTCAACCGCGATACGTATCGTATCGTGAGGTAGGTGTAACGTTTCAGCCCTAAAGACAAGCAAAGACAATCAGATCATCTCACGGAAAAAGCTAAGTGTGATCTGATTGAGACAAGGATTCAAACCCACAACCTACAAACTCAAAACAGTAGCTGAAATGGTAAACCGACTGTCAGCTACATATATATATATATATGGCTATATATTAACCAGACTAAAAGAAACTACTTGTGTTTCTGCTATCTTCCTCAGAAAAAATAGGTTAGTTAGGTAGGCAGGCAATTTTATCATTTTGGAAAAAAAAAATTACTTTCCTTTTTTAGAGTAGGAGTTTTGACTTTAACAGTGCATATCACTTTATAATTAATGCCAATACAAACTTTATGGTATAAGCACAAAAATCTAGGGTAGGTACTAGGGTTACTGGAACACAAGATTTCTTTTATTTGGCCGATTTAGTCACCGGCACAAAATACACCGGCTCAGTTCTACTACAGATTGTCATATTCCTTCCCCTTCAACATTTTTGTTCTTACCCGAAGTCACATGAGACCCTATACCACCTTCCAGAGGTATTGAACTAGCTGGACACCAAATGATACAAGAAAGGAAATTTGCAGCGATCAAACCTGAGGATTTGAACCTGCCAGGGTCAATAATCTTTAGCTTAATTTGACAAATAACAAAAATGGATGGTGTTTTGAGATATCATTGTTTTAACCAAAATCAATCAATTTTGATTTGAAATGAATAGCTAGATGCACCATTGTGTTTCAGCATGGCTACATACATGTACAGTTGACAAAAGTTTGGCTGATGATTGACCGTTCATATAAAATGACAGAACAGGGTAGCAGTCATAAACGAGAATCAACATCTTCCTTCTATTGAATTCTTTTATTCTAACGGATGACTGCTACCTGCAACGTACAGACGTAATAAAATGATAAGTTATTAATTACAAGTGAAAAATGAACACTAGAGATTGCTAAGTGACAGCTTCTTTGGAAACCAAATAAAAAAATATCTTGGGGTGGTCCTCTTTAACCACACTTTCCCTGTCTCTGCATGTAAAGGGAAGTTCTCCTTCCAAATATATCCTTCAGTGCCCAGTTGTGCTTCACACTTCAGGATGCTGTGTTTGGCAGCACATCATATAACACTTCCACACCATTGGTTTGCCAATTTATTTTTTGTTTTTGTTTGATAGAGTGATCTGACCCAGGAGAAGTATGTGTTCCAGTATGGTCCACGTCAGGGGGACCCAGGTTTTTTGGAACACCTTGCAAAATTCTTGTCAGTGCAATATGGGGACAATAACATTTCCAAGTAAGTACTTTTTCGAAGTTCTTCTAGATCATACAAATTATCATATTTTGCATTGAAGCTACAAATATTATAATTCGAAAAATAAAAGTGTTTTTGGTTCCATTTTTCATTAATTTCAAATGCTTAATGCCTTCAGTTATTTTGTTTTAATTTAAAAGAAATGAATTTCAAAATTGCATTAATACATTTCTTTTATATGGTGACCTTTTGTTGTAGTGGTAACATCATGTTGAACTTTTGTTGTAGTAATAACCTGATGGTGACCTTTTGTGGTAGGGATAACCTCATGGTGACCTTTTGTGGTAGTGATAACCTCATGGTGACCTTTTGTTGTAACGATAACATCATGGTTACCTTTTGTTATGGTGAAAACATCGTGTTGACCTTTTGTTATAGTGATAACCTGATGGTGACCCTTTGTTGTAGCGATAACATCATGTTAACCTTTTGTTGTAGCAAAAACCTCATGGTGACTTTTTGTTGAAGTGATAGCCTCATGGTGACCTTTTGTTGTAGCGATAACATCATGGTTACCTTTTGTTATGGTGAAAACATCATGGAGACCTTTTGTTGTAATGATAACCTCATGGTGACCTTTTGTTGTAGTGATAACCTCATGGTAACCTTTTGTTGAAGTGATAGCCTCATGGTGACCTTTTCTTTGAGTAATAACATCATGTTGACCTTTTGTTGTAGTAATAACCTCATGGTGACCTTTTGTTGTAGTGATAACCTCATGGTGACCTTAAGTTGTAGTGATAACATCATGGTGACCTTTTGTTGTAGTGATAACCTCATGTTGACCTTTTGTTGTAGTGATAACCTTCTTGGTGACCTTTTATTGTAATGATAACATCATGGTGACCTTTTGTTGTAGTGATTACATTATGGTTACCTTTTGTTATAGTGATAATATCATGGTGACCTTTTGTTATATTGATAACCTCATTGTTACCTTTTGTCGTAGTGGTAACCTCAAGGTGACCTTTTGTTGTAGTGATTACATTATGGAGACCTTTTGTTATAGTGATAACATTATGGTGACCTTTTGTTGTAGTGATACCCTTCTTGGTGCCCTTTTATTGTAATGATAACATCATGGTGACCTTTTGTGGTAGGGATAACCTCATTGATGACCTTTTGTTGTAGTGATACCCTTCTTGGTGCCCTTTTATTGTAATGATAACATCATGGTGACCTTTTGTTGTAGTAATAACCTGATGGTGACCCTTTGTTGTAGCGATAACATCATGATGACCTTTTGTTATAGTGATAACATCATGGTGACCTTTTGTTATAGTGATAACCTGATTGTTATCTTTTGTTATAGTGATAACCTCAATGTTACCTTTTGTTGTAGTGGTAACCTCAAGGTGACCTTTTGTTGTAGTGATAACATCATGGTAACCTTTTGTTGTAGTGATAACCTCATGGTGACATTTCGTTTGAGTAATAACATCATGTTGACCTTTTGTTGTAGTGATAACATTATGGTGACCTTTTGTTGTAGTGATAACCTCATGTTGACCTTTAGTTGTAGTGATAACTTCATGGTGACCTTTTGTTGTAGTGATAAGCAGATGGTGACCTTTTATTGTTGTGGTAACAACATGTTGACCTTTTGTTGTAGTGATAACATCATGGTGACCTTTTGTTGTAGTGATAACCTGACTTTGACCTTTTGTTGTAGAGATAACATCATATTGACCTTTTGTTATGGTGATAACATCATGTTGATTTTTTGTTTTAGCGATAGTCTCATGGTTACCTTTTGTTATAGTGATAACATCATGGTGACCTTTTGTGGTAGGGATAACCTCATTGATGACCTTTTGGTGTAGTGATAAACTTCTTGGTGACCTTTTGTTGTAGTGATAACATCATGGTGACCTTTAATTGTAGTGATAGCTTCATTGTGCCCTTTTGTTGTAGTGATAACGAGATGGTGACCTTTTATTGTAGTGATAACATTATGGTGACCTTTTGTTGTTGTGATAACCTCATGTTGGCCTTTAATTGTAGTGGTAACATCATGTTGACCTTTTGTTGTTGTAATATCCTCATGGTGACCTTTTGTTATAGTAATAACATCATGGTGTCCTTTTGTTGTAGTGATAACATCATTGTGACCTTTTGTTGTAGTGATAATGTAATGGTGACCTTTTGTTGTAGTGATAAGCAGATGGTGACCTTTTATTTTTGTGGTAACAACATGTTGACCTTTTGTTGTAGTGATAATCTGACTTTGACCTTTTGTTGTAGAGATCACATCATATTGACCTTTTGTTATGGTGATAACATCATGTTGATTTTTTGGTTTAGCGATAGTCTCATGGTTACCTTTTGTTATAGTAATAACATCATGGTGTCCTTTTGTTGTAGTGATAACATCATGATGACCTTTTGTTTTAGTGATAACATCATGGTGACCTTTGACCTTTTGTTGTAGTGATAATCTGACTTTGACCTTTTGTTGTAGAGATAACATCATGGTGACCTTTTGTTAAAGTGATTACACCATGGTGACCTTTTGTGGTAGAGATTACCTCATTGATGACCTTTTGTTATAGTGATAACATAATGGTGAACTTTTGTTATAGTGATTACACCATGGTGACCTTTTGTGGTAGAGATTACCTCATTGATGACCTTTTGTTATAGTGATAACATCATGGTTACCTTTTGTGGTAGGGATAACCTCATTGATGACCTTTTGGTGTAGTGATAAACTTCTTGGTGACCTTTTGTTGTAGGGATAACCTCATTGATGACCTTTTGTGTGATAACATCATGGTGACCTTTTGTGGTAGGGATAAACTCATTGATGACCTTTTGGTGTAGTGATAAACTTCTTGGTGACCTTTTGTTGTAGGGATAACCTCATTGATGACCTTTTGTGTGATAACATCATGGTGACCTTTTGTGGTAGGGATAACCTCATTGATGACCTTTTGGTGTAGTGATAACCTGCTTGTGACCTTTTTGTTGTAGTGATAACATCATGGTGGCCTTTTGTTATAGTGATAACACCATGGTGACCTTTTGTGGTAGAGATTACCTCATTGATGACCTTTTGTTATAGTGATAACATCATAGTGACCTTTTGTTATAGTGATAACCTGATGGTTATCTTTTGCCATAGTGATAACCTGATGGTTATCTTTTGTTATAGTGATAACCTCATTGTGACCTTTTGTGACCTTTTGTTATAGTGATAACCTGATGGTTATCTTTTGCCATAGTGATAACCTGATGGTTATCTTTTGTTATAGTGATAACCTGATAGTAATAACATCATGTTGACCTTTTGTTGTTGTAATAACCTCATGGTGACCTTTTGTTGTAGTAATAACATCATGGTGACCTTTTGTGGTAGGGATAACCTCATTGATGACCTTTTGTGTGATAACATCATGGTGACCTTTTGTTAGAGTGATTACACCATGGTGACCTTTTGTGGTAGAGATTACCTCATTGATGACCTTTTGTTATAGTGATAACATAATGGTGAACTTTTGTTATAGTGATTACACCATGGTGACCTTTTGTGGTAGAGATTACCTCATTGATGACCTTTTGTTGTAGTGATAAGCAGATGGTGACCTTTTATTGTTGTGGTAACAACATGTTTACCTTTTTTTGTAGTGATAACATCATGGTGACCTTTAATTGTAGTGATAACGTCATTGTGACCTTTTGTTGTAGTGATTATCTCATGGTGACCTTTTGTTGTAGTGAGAACATCATGGTGACCTTTTGTTGTAGCGATAATGTAATGGTGACCTTTTGTTGTAGTGAGAACATCATGGTGACCTTTAATTGTAGTGATAGCTTCATTGTGCCCTTTTGTTGTAGTGATAACGAGATGGTGACCTTTTATTGTAGTGATAACATTATGGTGACCTTTTGTTGTTGTGATAACCTCATGTTGACCTTTAATTGTAGTGGTAACATCATGTTGACCTTTTGTTGTAGTGATAATCTGACTTTGACCTTTTGTTGTAGAGATAACATCATATTGACCTTTTGTTATGGTGATAACATCATGGTGACCTTTTGTTATAGTGATTACACCATGGTGACCTTTTGTGGTAGAGATTACCTCATTGATGACCTTTTGTTGTAGTGATAACCTCATTGTGACCTTTTGTTGTAGTGATTATCTCATGGTGTCCTTTTGTTATAGTAATAACCTGATGGTTATCTTTTGTTGTACTGATAACCTCATTGTGACCTTTTGTTGCAGTGATTATCTCATGGTGACCTTTTGTTGTAGTGATAACCTCATGGTGACATTTTGTTTGAGTAATAACATCATGTTGACCTTTTGTTGTTGTAATAACCTCATGGTGACCTTTTGTTATAGTAATAACCTGATGGTTATCTTTTGTTGTACTGATAACCTCATTGTGACCTTTTGTTGTAGTGATTATCTCATGGTGACCTTTTGTTGTAGTGATAACCTCCATAACCTGATTGTGACCTTTTGTTGTAGTGATAACCTCATGGTGACATTTTGTTGTAGTGATAACCTCATGGTGACCTTGTGTTGTAGTGATAACCTCATGGTGACCTTAAGTTTTAGTGATAACATCATGGTGACCTTTTGTTATAGTGATAACATCATGGTGACCTTTTGTTATAGTGATAACATCATGGTGACCTTTTGTTATAGTGGTTGTAGTGATAACGAGATGGTGACCTTTTATTGTAGTGATAACATTATGGTGACCTTTTGTTATAGTGATAACCTCATGTTGACCTTTAATTGTAGTGATAACTTCATGGTGACCTTTTGTTGTAGTGATAACGAGATGGTGATCTTTTATTGTAGTGGTAACATCATGTTGACCTTTTGTTGTAGTGATAACATCATGGTGACCTTTTGTTGTAGTAATAACTTCATGATGACTTTTTGTGGTAGTGATAACCTCATGTTGACCTCTAGTTATAGTGATAACATCACGGTTACCTTTTGTTATAGTGATAACCTCCATAAT